GCTGGGGGTGGGGGCGCCCTGAAGGTGTTCGCGCGCCTGGACCGGGGCGGTGGGGGGGTGGCTGCGGGCCCCGCCGCCGTCCGTCCGAGGCTGCGCGGACGCCCGGTCCGGCACACACGCGGCCCCGAGGTGGGGCGCCCGGAGGCGCGCTCGCTCCCTGCGGGGCCCGCGCTGCGTCCGTCGGGGTGGCAGCCGGCACGTTTTCCGCAGAGCTCGGCCCCGCGGAGCCTTCCCCGGCCCGGGCGCGGTGCTGACGCGGCTCTCCCATTTCGCAGAGCGGAGACACTGAGGCACAGACGCCTGGCGGCGATCCACCCTGCCGGCCCCAAGGTCACGTAGCGAGGCATCCGTGGCACGGTGCGGCTGCCCCAGAAAGGCCTGTCCAGCGGGCTGCGGCCCTGGACGGGGAGGGGGTGGCTCTGGCGGCGGCCACCCGTGGGTGAGGGGCCTGGGCTGGCTGGGCGGCAGATGCGGCCCGTCGGGGGCGGCGGGGGAGGATGGGCAGCGCCCAGCCGGGCGTCTCCGCGATGGGAGCAGGTGACCCTCTGGGCTCCAGCCTCGGCCTCCGGCCTCTGCGTTTGGAAGGCCGCGGGCTAAACTTTGGGTGTCCTGACAGATGGTGTCTGGGGAGTGAGCTTCTCTGGGATTGGAGGCTGATGTTCCTCTTCGGGGAGCCACTCTGAAAAATCAGCCCTCAGAGCCCCCCGCAGTCCTGCTCTTTGAGACGCCCTGGCCATGCTAGTGAGAGGATTACTGCATGGGAGTCAGTGCCTTTGAGCCTCAGTTTCCTATTGTGTACACAGGAAGGAGGCAGGATATATGGCTTTCTAAAAAGCCCCCCAATTCTTTAATTTAAAAAAAAAAAAAAAAAAAAAAAATTTTTTTGAATGAAATAAAATAAAATGAAGATATTTTCATGCCTTTCTCTGGGCTCAGGCCTTCGGGGCCCTTGAATGGCATATACTGCTGGGTGAACCACACTGGGTCATTCAAAAAAAATGGCACGACTTTCTTAATAAGTCAGATACTGTGCTTATGGATGCTTCTGCTAATGTGGCATGAATCCTGGAGACTCAGTCCACTCCTGATCCTCGGGGGAGGGAGGGACGGTTAAATCCTAAGAATATGGTTTAGAAGAATTCTCCCTCTAACCCCCTACCAGCCTTTTGAGAATTTGAACTTACCACGTTTAGATATATTTACAGTTCCTCTCTCTCTTTGGCCATTTCTTCCTGCTTAGGGTAAGATAAGCCACAGGTTTACCTGGATGGATGAAATTATAGCAAAGGGCTTTTATTTGGGGGGCGAGGGAGGGAAAACGCTCCTGTGGCCCCTCTACAGTCCTCCAAATCCGGAAATGGAGAGAGACAGTCTAATAATAGGAAAGAAATAGTATTTTCCTTTGAGCTCTGATTTGTCTTGCTGGTAAAGATGCCTTGGTCTGCTGGCTCTGTTTGCTATACTGGAGGTTTTTTTTTTTTTTTTTTTTTCTTCATTGTTTCAGTTAAACCCCTGCATTACTCAGAGAGACTGACTTGCCCCCCAGGGATTTTTTTCCCTTCTTTCTAGTGCTAGGCAGATACCCTAATCTCCCTCTGAGGCAAGGGCTGGAATGTGCCTATTGTGTTGCGTTAGGAAGCCACTTTTCCTGAGAGCCAGGTGCCTAGCCTAGAGGGCCCCCTGCCCTGCCTTCCCCCTAGTGAAGAATTGAGAGTTGGTTTAGCTGTTGATGAGCCGGCAGGTTTAGGGGTCTTGTGAGTTCCTTGGAGATGTTTGCTTGTGCCCTTGTGTCTGTTTTGAGGACAAGAACCCAAAACTTTCATTGGATTTTCAAAGAGGTCCCTGACCCCAACTTAAATGATAATATCTTTAAAAGCAAAGCTTTCCTCCCCACCCCTCCCAACCCTATCAAACCTCCACAGGTCTTTGTGTATTAATAATATCCAGGCCTCGGGATTTTCAAGGTAAAAAGATTCAGAACACGCACCTGCCTGGCCAGCTGCTTCAGTTGACAGCGAAGGCCTCGAGGTCACCTGCAGGCTGTGGAACCAGACCACTGTGGGACCTGGGGCAGCCTCTCCTGTCCCCATTGTCTTCCTGTACTAAGTATGGATAGTAACTCTAGTACCTGTTTCATAGATTTTGTGAGGATTAAATGAGATAATCCTTTAAAATGCTTAACACAGCTCATGGCACATAATAAATGCTGGATAATTGTTAGCCATTCCCAGCTGATTAGTGCTCATATCTGGTTAGTGACAGAGGCTATTAAACAATGCTACCTCAAAGACCTTTTGTGAATAGGGTCTTGAATCTTCAGTCCTTGGCTTAAAAGTGCGATGCTGTCATAGTTGTCACCTATGAATGAACCAATAAAAGAAAAAAAGCTGTAGAAGATATGGAATAGCTTTAGATAAGTCTCTGATAGGTGACTAAAGGAACTTCATGATTTATCATAATAATTCTTTTGTATCTCAACAATTTACTCTTCAGCAAGCATTTATTGAACACATACTATATGTCAGACTGAACACTGGGGATATGCTAATTTTCAAATTAAGAAAATTGAAATTTTAATTAAAGACCACTTGGATATACAGCACAGTAACTGAGCAGATTCACTGGAGGAAGAGGATAAGGGAGTGGACAAAAATTGTTACAGGAGAAATTGTGTTCGGTTCCAATAGAGATACTGATGATCTAGGTAGGTAAGTACAGAACTAGGCACTCACAGAAGATTGTGGCTTCACCTCCCCAGTGATTCAAGAATTCTCTCAATGTGAGTATGGCAGGGTGGGGAATGAGGAGAGCGTGGGTCATTGAAATCCCAGAAGGACTCCAAGTCTTTATGGTGGTCTGGTCCTCCCAAATCTGGCTGCAAGTCACCAGTCCGGCTGACTTCTGCTCTGCTTCCCGTCCTTCCAGGCCTTCCTGCTTCCTCATTCCCCACCTGAGAAACCCCAGGGTGGAACCCAGACCACCTGAGCACACCTACTGCAGTGAACCGCTGCCCATTCCTAGGAGTGGCTGAATTGCCTGCCTTGATGTGGCTGAACTACCTGCCTCGATCTCTCTTTCTGCTGATAGGAGAAGTCCATTCAGCCTCTACAGCAGGGGCTGGGCACATAAAAGGTGTTTCCAGGTCAAACATATACCGTACTGACTCATTGAGATGAGTCTGCAGTGTGCAACTGGTATCAAAGAGTAAGAGTCTGGGAAACTTCAGATAATGTCGTGTCCTTACTCTTGGACCAAGCAAAGGAAGGAACCCAGGGCACCACACAGGCCTAATGCTGGTAGAAGTGGTAGGGGCTGGATGCCAAGTCCACCTTTGAGTCAAGAATGTTAACAGTACTGGCTCCTGCTGGTGAGCCCCCACCCCCACCCCCACTGGGAGATGTGGGATAGTAGGTGCTTGGCTTTTACAAAATTCTGCTCTTTTGTTTCTTCAAATTGTATGTGCAGTGCTCCAACAACTCAGGGAGTGCGTGTGTCAGATATTGTTATCCTTGTTTTATGGATGACGACACAGGACACTAAGAACAGCAAGGTCAAATGACGGATCCAGAGTGACACAGGTGGCAGTAGGTGTAGACAGGGCCAAAATCCAAGTGTTCTCACAGGAGTCCAGCACCCTTTCCCCTCTCCCACACTGCTGCTCATAAGGTACCTGTGCCATGTATGTTGTGTAAAAGGAGATGGCTCTGTAAAAAACAAAAGGTGGCGCCGGGCGCGGTGGCTCACGCCTGTAATCCCAGCACTTTAGGAGGCCGAGGCGGGTGGATCACGAGGTCAAGAGATCTAGACCATCCTGGTCAACACGGTGAAACCCCATCTCTACTAAAAATACAAAAAATTAGCTGGGCATGGTGGCACGTACCTGTAATCCCAGCTACTCAGGAGGTTGAGGCAGGAGAATTGCCTGAACCCAGGAGGCGGAGGTTGCGGTGAGCCGAGATAGCGCCATTGCACTCCAGCCTGGGTAACAAGAGCGAAACTCCGTCTCAAAAAAAAAAAGTGGCATAATCATCTTTTATTTGCTGTTAATAATAGTGTCATAATTGATATCTAAATTGGTGCTGTGGTCTCCAGAAGAGAGTCACATTTGAGGGGTACATGTCATTGTTACCCAAATGGAAGCAATTTTTATGTGTATGCTGGTCTTTGGGATTTATTTTCCTAGCTGGAGATGGTGGCCTTCAATCCTCTTTTCCTTCCTTCCCTGAACACAGGTTCAGCAGCTGGACATGGAGAATCAACGCTCATCACCTCTGTCGTTCCCCAGTGTTCCGCAAGAAGAAACCTTACGTCAGGCCCCTGCTGGACTCCCCCGAGAAACTCTGCTCCAATCCCGTGTTCTTCCTCCCAAAGAAATTCCTTCTTTGTCTCCCACCATTCCCCGACAAGGCTCCCTGCCCCAAACTTCCAGTGCTCCCAAGCAAGAGACTTCTGGCCGGATGCCTCATGTACTCCAGAAGGGACCCTCACTCCTGTGTTCTGCCGCTTCTGAGCAAGAGACTCCTCTCCAGGGCCCCCTGGCTTCCCAGGAAGGGACCCAGTATCCACTCCCAGCTGCTGCTGAACAAGAAATCTCCCTTCTCTCCCACTCTCCCCACCACCAAGAAGCTCCCGTTCACTCCCCTGAAGCTCCTGAGAAAGACTCTTTGACCCTTTCCCCAACAGTTCCTGAGACCGACATGGACCCTCTGCTCCAGAGCCCAGTTTCCCAAAAGGACACCCCCTTCCAGATCTCTTCCGCAGTCCAGAAGGAACAGCCGCTCCCCACGGCGGAGATCACCCGCTTGGCCGTGTGGGCTGCCGTCCAGGCAGTGGAAAGGAAACTGGAGGCCCAGGCCATGAGGCTACTGACCCTGGAAGGCAGGACCGGGACGAATGAAAAGAAGATAGCTGACTGCGAGAAGACAGCCGTGGAGTTCGCGAACCATCTGGAGAGCAAGTGGGTTGTGCTGGGGACCCTGCTGCAGGAGTATGGGCTGCTGCAGAGGCGGCTAGAGAACATGGAGAACCTACTGAAAAACAGAAATTTCTGGATCCTGCGGCTGCCCCCTGGCAGCAATGGAGAAGTTCCCAAGGTAAGCACATCCCAACTGGGGCTTCCCAGGGAAGGGATCCGAATTGGAGTGTGGTTTAGGAATGTAATATGAAAGAAAGGGGTGGTGGAGAAAGGAAAAAAATACAGTGATCCCAGTTGCCGGGATGTGCCAAAATCAAATTATTTCTCCTGTTGATGAGAGTATAGGCTAGTATAGAAATGCCCCTGGGATCGGGGGTTGTCAGTTTAGAAGGGTGTTCGGCAGAGCTGTCCATCGTGTAGGAGGATAAGAAGTCAAAGGCCGGTGAGAGCCCTGTAGAGGCTTTACCATCAGTCACTGAGGGTGCGTTAGCTTCACAATCGCAGCAGAGGAGGGAGCTTGGATTAAACATCACAAGAATCTGTCCTGCTCCACATTTTTACCAGTTCACTTATAAGCCATGTTAGTGCCAGGAAAACTGATTTCAAGAGGTTTCCTTTAAAAAGCTAGAGAAGTTAGGTTTGTATATTATTTTCCAGAAGGTTATGAAAGAGCTTGGGTGTGGACTGGCTTGCTTTGTCTTCTTCAGTGCTGCTGCCCTCTTTCACAGCCATATGTAGAGAGAAAACAGACTCAGTTCTCTAGGCCAGCACGCCTCAAAGTTTGCTGTGCACGTGGATCTCCTGGGGATGTTACTGAATGCAGAAGCTGATTTAGTAGGTCTAGGGTGAGGTCTGAGAGTCCGAATTTCTGGCAAGTTTCCTGGTAGCACCATTGGTGCTGGTCCACAGACCATACTTTAGAGCTTCAAGAATTATATCCTGAAGGGGAAGAAAAGCATCAGACAAGACAGGTCCCTCACTCTCTGGGGCCAGGACAGTGGCCAGACTTCTGGAGAAGTCCCAGGTGAAGACCCAGAGCCAGGGATTTGGGACTTGGGATTGGCCAGCCAGGGGCCTGTGACTGCTTCCAGCGGGTCCGAGCCGAGTCTGTTGTGTGGTTTCAGGTCCCTGTCACGTTTGATGATGTCGCTGTCCACTTCTCGGAGCAGGAGTGGGGAAACCTGTCTGAGTGGCAGAAGGAGCTCTACAAGAATGTGATGAGAGGCAACTATGAGTCCCTGGTTTCCATGGGTAAGGAGAAGGCTTCACCCATGGGGGGCTGCCTGGATGCAAGCTCGAGGTGCGTTCATAGCCTTAGGGAGTTCTGAACCCCAGCAGAGCCAATAATCGCAAGCAAGAAAAACGGAATTTTAGAGAGCACAACAAATTAAAACCAATGCCCTCATATACCCACACGCATCAGTGCGGCCCAGGCCAGAACGGTCTGTAAATTGAGACACCACGGAGAAGCTGCTGGGGCAAGAAGGAGGAGAAAGACCTAGGTATCGATGGTCTCTCACCATCATCCTATTTTATCTCACAGATTCCTTTCATAATAAATTAATGTGTCCAGCAAACTAAAACAAGGAAAAAAGAATGAACGAAAAGTGTGCTGAGTGCCTACTGTGTACCAGCCACATTTGAAGTGCTGTACAAGAATCACCTCCTTGGACCACCACAGCCAAGCTGTTGGGGTGGCTAACACAGGTGTTCACACTCCTGTTTGATGATTCAGGTGGCTGAACACCGAGGCTGTGATCAGGGAGGTTAAATGCTTGTTTCATGGAGATCCATCTTACCCCAGAGTCTGTGGATTCTTATGATTTTCATTAAAACTATGTAAGGGTGAAAACCTGACAAAATGTACTTTACTTTTACATATCTGTTTCTGTGATATGGAGAACTCCTTGGGTATATATAAAAAATGTTATCTTAAAAGAAATATTTAAATGTGTTGTCACATAGAAACTTTGATTCCAGCCAGAGTTGATAATTTTATACATACCTTCCCATGGGATATATTCTCTTGCTTTTAATTTTTCAGCTGAGTGGGGTGGCTCATGCCTGTAATCCCAGCATTTTGGGAGGCCAAGGCAGGCAGATCACGAAGTCAGGAGTTTGAGACCAGCCTAAGCAACATGGTGAAACCCCGTCTCTACTAAAACACAAAAAATTAGCTGTACATGGTGGTGGACGCCTGTAATCCCAGCTGCTGGGGAGGCTGAGGCAGGAGAATCCCTTGAACCTGGGAGGCAGAGGTGGCAGTGAGCCGAGATCGTGCCACTGCACTCCAGCCTGGGTGACAGAGCAAGACTCCATCTCCAAAAAAAAAAAAAAAAAATTCTTCCTTTTTTAATTGTGAAAATTCAACACTTTAAATGATTTCTATGATTAAGAGCAACTACCACGCATTTACCAGCCCCACTCCCCAGAGGTAACTACCATGAACCCTTTGGTCCATGTTTTCTCTCATCTTTTTTTACATGTGCAGATATAAGCATGATACATTCACTGATGCACATGCAGTTTGGGGTTTGCACGGAGGGGTCTGTTCACTGATTTTACCTAATGTGGGGATGTAGAGAGTGTTCCACATAGGCCTCCTTGGAAAGACGGTGCAGTGTTCCAGGGGAACCTTTAGGGCTTTTGACCTTTCTGCTGTTGCTGAACAGTAGGTTGATTCTGTTTTTGTCACTGTTACCAAGTGTTGTGATAAACGTCTGTGTATTTGTGCACTTCTGTGTGTTTCAGTAGGACAGATACTAAGAATTGGGATTGCCAAGTAAACAGGATGCACATTTACAGTTTTATTGCTACTGCCTGGTGCTCTCCAGCAGGCTGAGCCAGTTGATATTTCTGCAAGGGTGTGTGGAAATGCCATTTCATACCCTGGGCTGAGCTGATGTTCTTCTATTTTAAATATTAGCCTTTTTTTACAGGTGAAAAATGATACCTAATTTATCTAAATATGTATTCTTTGATGATTAGTGAACTTGTGCATCTTTTTATATATTTATTGACCATTCATATTTCTTCTATGAATTACCTATTTATAGCTTTGCAATTTTACTAGTTATAAAAGTTCTTTATGTATGACTATGGATAGTAACCCTTTGCCATATGACAAACATATATATATATGTATATAATATTTCCTCCAAGTTTCTTTTTTCTTTTTTTTTTTTTTGAGACGGAGTTTTGCTCTTATTGCCCAGGCTGGAGTGCAATGGCATGATCTCGGCTTACCGCAATCTCCGCCTCCTGGGTTCAAGCAATTCTCCTGCCTCAGCCTCCCGAGTAGCTGGGACTACAGGCATGCACCACCATGCCCAGCTAATTTTTGTATTTTTAGTAGAGATGGGGTTTCACCATGTTGACCAGGATGGTCTCGATCTCTTGACCGCATGATCCACCCACCTTGGCCTCCCAAAGTGCTGGGATTATAGGCGTGAGCCACCGCACCCGGCTTCCTCCAAGTTTCTTAATCTTTTAACTCTATTTCCAAAGAAGTGAGAACTCATTTTATATAAGAAAATCTAACAGTATTTTATTTTATGGCTTTTAGATTTTAATCAGGATTAGTTTTTTGTTTTTTCTTTTTTTGAGATGGAGTTTCTCTCTTATTACCCAGGCTGGAGTGCAGTGGTGCGATCCCGGCTCACTGCAACCTCCACCTCCCAGGTTCAAGAGATTCTCCTGCCTCAGCCTCCCAAGTAGCTGGGATTACAGGCATCCACCACCACGCCTGGCTAATTTGTTATATTTTTAGTAGAGATGGGGTTTCACCATGTTGGCCAGGCTGGCCTCGAACTCCTGACCTCAGGTGATCCACCCGCCTTGGCCTCCCAGCGTGCTGGAATTACAGGTGTGAGCCACTGCGCACAGCCAGAATTACTATTTTACTTTACAAAATTTCAGATACCTTCTGCCTTTGTCATGAAAACCTGGGCAGGTTTTGACCACCTCTGAACAACATGATCCCCCTACACCCCCGCGCCACACAGGCACACTCACACACAGACACACCCACAGTGGGCTCTCAGGAAAAGGGGAGGAGGCTTGGCGGTTTTCCATTACTGGCCCCCAGTGGAGGAGCTGCTCCTGGAATCACACGCCCACAGATGATACCTTAACAGCATCCAGTGCAACCTCATCCCGGAGCATTTTTTTTCCTTTCTTCTGCCCAGACTATGCAATTTCCAAACCAGACCTCATGTCACAGATGGAGCGCGGGGAGCGGCCCACCATGCAGGAGCAGGAAGACTCTGAGGAGGGCGAGACGCCGACAGATCCCAGTGCTGGTGAGTGGCTGAGGGTGGTCTGCAGCTCTGCATTCTAGATCATTCAGTACTGAGGAAGCCTCAGCATGAGGCAGCACAATCCAAGGTAGGCCCTGCCAGGAGATGTCAGCAGGAAGGAGGCCTGCAGGTGCCAGGACCTGCTTTGGAGCACCATGATCACCAGCAGCCCAACTGGTTGATTAATGGGAATCACGTTGGGTTCACTGTCTCAGAATTTTTTGACATGACCAAGTGTTACCTCACTCGCTGTAGGAAATAAAGCAAGAAGCTCAAAAAAAGGCAATCACTTGTCAAGCAGTCACTAGTGCTTGAAATTCCTGGCGCTTTCGAGAGAAGGGCCACACCCTGAGTCCTGCAGGTGGTCATTGGAGGGATAAGGGGCATACATGGCCATTACTGGGAACAGGCTATATATATGCACAACTCCAGCAGGATGGCGTGTAGGTGGACTCTGCAGATAGGCGCCCAGGGAGGCCGACCAGAGGCCAGGTGGTTCACTTGCAGATTCTGGTGAGAGAAGGCCTGTATCTGAGGACAGTTTTTCTGCCTGCTGGTGGTGGGATTTTAGTTGCTTTATTGTTTTAGAGTCTCAGTTTCCTCATCTGTAAAATAGAACTGGCACTAATGTTTAACCATAGGGCCTGGCATGGTGATTGGCACGTAGCAGTGGCTCAGTAAATGCCAGCCGCTATCAGTGTGCCCGGAGGGTTGCCCCATTCACGGCGGCCGGGTCAGTGGCCCACACACCCACGCTGCAGGTGCTCTCGTGGTGTGTGGTTGCTCTTTGAAGCCCCTTCTTTGGAACTGCCCTTGGACTTGAATCACTTACCTCGATGGTCATCATTGGAAGCTGATCCTTGAACTTTGTGGGCAGGCGTGGTGTGTGAACATAGCTGAGTGTCACTGGTGATCATGTCTGCTGAAAGAGGGTGATCTACCTGGAGAACTCTGTTTGGGGCCAACAGCCAGGTCTTGTTAGGAATTAATGTCATTGATTTGGGGACCAATCAACTGGCTCCAAACAGATATTCTAGGCACATGAAGTAATGTCAGCCCCATATACTGAGTGAGAAGGGGACTTCTGGGAGAGGCAGAGCCTGTGAAAATACAAGCACTGGCATGTCCCAGAGAAATCCAGCAGCACCACTTTCCACACATTTGCCTAAAATTTAACTCGAGGAGAGGGGCTAACCCTGAGTTCATTCTGGAAGACAGAAAAGAGGAATTTAAAAGTCGATGAGGATGGGAGGTTGGTGACAGTGTGGCACATGGCAGGGTGAACTTTTGGTTGAGGAAAATCAGCCAGAGATCCAAAGATGATTCAGATGTCAGCCCTCCAAATACTCAGAAAAGGGGCTCCCATTCATTTACGGCTCTGGAGAAGCCAGGCATCATCTTCACCTAGCAAATTAGCAAAGAGTAATTAGCAAATTACTGCACGTAGCAAATTAGAAAAGAGGCTCGCGTTCATCCATGGCCCTGGAGAAGCCAGGCACCATCTTCACCTAGCAAATTAGCCAAGATTAAGCGAGCCAGAAGGCATGGCTGAAATATGTGTGCTCAGATATTGCCACTCAGAGGGCTTATCATTTCAGTCTCTCAAGACAGCAATTTGTGGCTTTCTAGTCTTAAAATATATACGAATTTTTTTTTTTTTTTTTTTTTTTTTTGAGACAGAGTTTCGCTCTTGTTACACATGCTGGAGTGCAATGGTGCGATCTCGGCTCACTGCAACCTCCGCCTCCTGGGTTCAGGCAATTCTCTTGCCTCAGCCTCCTGAGTAGCTGGGATTACAAGCACGCGCCACCATGCCCAGCTAATTTTTTTGTATTTTTAGTAGAGACGGGGTTTCAACATGTTGACCAGGATGGTCTCGATCTCTTGACCTCGTGATCCACCCGCCTCGGCCTCCCAAAGTGCTGGAATTACAGGCGTGAGCCACCGCGGCCGGCTGAAGTTTTTATTTTTTAATTATATGTGTGTGTGTATGTGTATACATATACATATATATGACATGATCCCAGCTCACTCATGTATATATTTTGTTTTCTTTTGTTTTGTTTTTGAGACGGAGTCTTACTTTGTTGCCTAGGCTGGAGTGCAGTGGCATGATCTCAGCTCACTGCAACCTCCACCTCCTGGTTCAAACAATTCTCTTGCCTCAGCCTCCTGAGTAACTGGGATTACAGGCATGCACCACCACACCCAGCTTATTTTTGGGTTTTTAGTACAGAAAAGGTTTCACCATGTTGGCCAGGCTAGTCTCGAACTCCTAACCTCAAGTGATCCACCCACCTCAGCCTCCCAAAGTGTTGGGATTACAGGTGTGAGCCACCACAACTGGTTTATTTTTAAATATATTTTACATATTTTAAATGTTCATACATTTGACCTAATAATTTACCTCCTGAGAGTCTAACATGAAAAAGAAACCAAAATATAGATTACAATGTATAAATACAAACCACAATATGATAGACTGTTACACACTAAAATCACATTTAGGGAGAGTTTTGAAACCATAAGTTTCACTCGTATGTTTATTTAGTTCATCAGATCTCTTTGGTAGCAGGTACTATGTCAAGAACTACATTACCCCTGAGGCCGTTGCCCTCAGACTTAACTCCCGTGGAGAGACTGACATTAACAACCAAAACACCTCACATAGATGAAAGCACAGGCACCAGCTGTGACAGAGCTGGGATGCAGAGCATCCAGGACTGCGGGACACACGACAGGAAGGGTGCTCTTGAGTTTGGGAGGTCAGAAAGGCCACTTTGAGGACGTGGAATTTCTACTGGAAACTTGAAGCCCAAGTAGGGTTCTGGCCACTCCGTGGAGAACTAACTGGAGTGAGGAAGGTCTGGGAGCTGAGAGACCACTTGGAGGTTCTTTTTCCAGGTGGGAGACCTTGGCATTGCCCTGAGAGAGAAGTGGCTGTTGGCAAGATATATTTTGGCCATGGGCTAGGAAGGACTTAGGGATTGATGGGAGTTGAATGGGAGGGACAGGGAGGTGCTAAGGATGGCTCCCAGGCGTCCGGCTTAAGTAAGAGTAGAGGGTGGGCAATGTGAGGTTCAGATTTGGAGAAACACTGAGAATTCTATTTTAAACACATTAGGCTTGAGATCCCTGTGAGACATCAAAGAGAAGGTGTTGAGAAAGCAGCTGAATAAAGGAGTCTGGAGTTGAGAACAGAGGTCTGAGGTAGAGACGTCTGGCCTTGGCACATTTGGACAGTTGGGTGTTGGCAGCAGAGACAGATTAGGTTGCTCAGTCTGTAGAGCAGGAGGAGAGGAGAACACCAGCCATGCCCTGCAAAGCCCTGGCTTTGGGGCAGTTTTGGGGATTTGGAATATGTTGTTCATCATGGGGCCCAAGTTAGTATTTTTTATCTTCCAAGGTGATTTTCATATGCAGCCAGGATTGAAAACCAGTCGCAGGATTTGGAAAAAGAAGGAGCCAGAGGAATCAAAGGAAACAGAAAGAGTGGCCAGAAAGGTAGCAGGAAAATTAGGATAGTGCCTTGTTGGGTATTTCTAGAGAAGAATGCTTCCAGAAGGAGAGAGTATGCCCAATAGCGTTGTATTCTGCTGTGCAGTTTAGGAACAGGAAGACTGAAAAGTGTCCATTGGATTGCAAGCTGAAAATCATCAGTGACCCTAGGAAGACAAACACTGGTAGATTAGTGGAGGTGGCAGCCTGATAGTCAGTGGGTGAGGAGCGGATGGGAGGCAAAGAAGTAGAGATGGCACGTGCTGACAGTCATTTCAAGAAGCTTAGTTGTGGGGAGTGGAAATACGGGGCAGTTGGGGGAGTTCTTGTTTGCCTGAGATGGGGATTGCTAAAGCCTGTTTGAAATGTTGATGGGAATGATCCAATTGATAGGAGGATTAAGGGTGTAGAAGCGGGAAATGTAAGTTTAGTGAGGTCAATGATGTATGCAAAAGGAGATAGAAAAAAAACTGGATGGAAACATTCCAAAGCCATATTTTTCTGTTTTATAGAATGTTCTGATGTGAGCATATATTACTTTTTATTCAGTAAAAAGATATTTTTTAAAACAGTGCATAGTGAAAGACTTTGAGTTGAGCAGGGCAGATTGAACATGTATTTATTTCCACCTCCCCGAATCCTTCTAAAACAAGAGTGAAGGAACTTTTAAAAGGAAAGGAGAAACAGCAACAAATTTTTCAGCCCTGAAGCAGGTGATAGATGTAGTGAGCTGAATCTGAAATTGGTACTGGGGAAAGTTGAGAAGAAACACAATTTGCACCCCGACACCTGCTCGGGACTCAAGAGTTAATAGTACCAGAGACTCTAGGGATCCCTGGAAATAGGGATGAAGTGAGGCTAAACACAGAGAACTGGCTGAACATCTTTTAAAGAGGCCACTTAACACTCTCTCAGCTCCCATTGCCTCCCTCATTCCCGTCTGCAGGCATCTGCCTCTTCCTAGCACTGGTATGTGACAGGCTTATTCTCTAGAGAGGGTGAAAAGGAGGCTCTCTAGACATGGGCACCAGGCACAGTCGTGGATAGGGCACCATGTCGAAAATGGGAAGAAGGAGACTTGAAGTGCAGATACTGAGGTCTCCAGACTTCTTCCCTAACTCGACTACCAAAATGTTGCCGACACCCAGGATTAAACGCTTTGGGCAGGATATTGGAAGAGTCTTATCTGGATGCTTTTGGGACCAGCTCAAGAGGTTTCTGAGTAAAATGACTTGGGCAAAGCACCCTACTAGGAAACAGAGACTCATAGTTAGCAAGCTCCACCCTAATGCACTCAGCTTTATGTTCTCCTGAGTGTCCACTTTTAAGACTCTGTGGACAACCAAGAACCAGGAGACATTTGGAAAAAGCCTGTGGTATACAGAGACAAATAAGTAAAGAAATCAGAAAAATATATTTAGAGGAGCAGAGATCATGCAGAGAGGAAAAAATATGTATACGAATACTTACATATAAAATCCTTAGATAAAATAAGTGAATGCATT